TTCTTAACCGTACTCTCAAGTTTTGCAACTTTTTCTTTTAAAGTCTTGCAAGATTCACATTCACTTGAAGAACTTTCTGGTTTGTCAGCACTTCTCTTACCATAAAATTTATTTTCTTGTTTCAACCTTTCATTATCTTTTTCCAATTTGTCAAAATCATTTTTAAGAGTTGAAAGACGTTTCTTTAAAGATTTATTGGTTTTAGAAGCGCTAACAAATTCATCACAAAGCTCATGAAGTGCTTCTTGCATTTCTTCAAAAGTATAAGAGTCGGAAGAATTGGTACATACCTCTTGAACGTCGTCAGTTTGATCTTTGTGCGCCATGAGGCAGAGGTTGGCGGCTTCCTCCTCTTCTTGATCCGTTGACTCATCCCCGGAGTCGCCTCCCCAAGAGTTGTAGGCGCGTTGCTTTTTGAAGCCAGGTTTGTCCTTGCCGCCTTTGCTTTTTGGACACCTCGGCTTGATGTGGCCTATCTCACCACAACCATAGCACTTCGGGGGCCCGTCGTGCTTTCTTCCTTTTCTTTCAAATTCTTTCTTCATGAATTTGTGGAACTTCTTGATAACGAGTCCGAACTCGTCATCATCGCTTGAGTCGTCTTCCACGGACTCCTTGGTTGCTTTCAGCGCTATACCCTTCTTCTTTTGTTCATCCAAAGACGGTGTTAGAATAGTAGATTCATAGGTTTTGAGATTACCTCTAAGCCCGTCAATGGTGACATTCGAGACTCCGATGGATTCATAGATTGCGTCTGCCTTTGATCTCCATTCGGGTGTGAGACTTCGCAGGATTTTTCTCACAAGATCCTTGTTGGTGTAAGTCTTCTTGAGTGCATGAAGGTCGTTGATGATTTTTGACAACCGATCAAACATGTCATCGATCTTTTCGCCTTCCTTCATCCTGAACATCTCGTACTCCTGTGTTAGGAAGTCAATTTTGGCTTCCCGAACTTGGTCCGTACCTTCATATGTGACCACCAGTTTGTCCCACATTTCTTTTGCAGTGGTGCAGCAAGAAATCTTGCGATAATCATCAGGATTGACGGCACAGTACATCATATTGATAGCCTTGGCGTAGTTCTCCACCTTTTTGATGTCCTCGGCATCAAATTCGTCCTCGGTCTTTGGGACTGTGGTTTCTCCTACTTTCTTCATTGGTATTTGTTCTCCATTTTTGATGACCAACCATAATTGGAAGTTGGTGGAACGGATGTAGATTCTCATTCGTTCCTTCCAATAGGAATAGTTGGTGCCATCAAAGAGTGGTGGCCTAGACGTAGATTGACCTTCTCCAATTCCTGCATAGAGATTTCTAGAAGAAGAACCCATGATCGCTTACCCTCAAACGGTTAAGTTTGGACGCGAGTTAGGCTCTGATACCAATTGTTAGAATAATAGACCAACGCTAGAGGGGGGGTGAATAGCGTTTGATCGGAGAAATCGCAGGAATTAAAAAATTAAAATGGAAGTAAAGGAAAGAGAAAAAGGCACACCGAATTTTACCCTGGTTCACCACAACTTGTGGCTAATCCAGCCTCCCGAGAGACTCTCTCGAGCTACACTACTATCTCGTTAAGCTTGCGGGTGCTTAACAAACCGTTACAACTTGAGAGTTCGAGTCACACGAACCTCAACGAATCCTTCAAAGGAAACAATCCTTCCTTTGAATCAACTGAGAGAGGTACTATCTCTCAACGTGTCTAAGAACACAAATACACTCAAGAACGAGACTCTCTTATAGAGTAGATTATGAGTAAACTAAGTACGCTCAAGAACAACTCAACCTTCACACAAAAATGGCTCTAGAAAGCTATGAAAAAATGATGATATTTGAATGTAATGAAAGTATAAATGTTGTGAAGTGAATTGGTGAGAAAAGCAGACCCAAACACCCCTTTTTATAGTGCCAAAATAGGCTCCAACGGACCAATACATTAAAGGGGTGATTGGCTTGATTTATGGGATTGAATAAATTTGGGATCTGCAGGATATTGGCTTCCCATCGATGTTTGGAACTTACCCATCGCTAGTAAGCCAATTTTCCTTCAGTTTTGAAGCCAACGGTTACCTACCCATCGATGGGTAAATGCTTCCCATCGCTGGGTGGGAGGTTGACTTTCAAATAAGGAAAGAATCGGCCTTAAATGACTTCCAACGGTCATGCCTTCCCATCGATGGTTTAGTCTTCCCATCGCTGGGTTCCCATCGATGGGTAAGGCTTCCCATCGCTGGGTAAGGGCATTCTGCCTTGTGATAATATTGGACCAAGGCTTGAACAGCGATGGGTAGAGCTTCCCATCGCTGTTTGGCATGGTTCTGGAAGTTGGTTTGGCTAAGGGGCTACTTACCCATCGATGGGATGTTCTTCCCATCGCTGGGTGGGTGGTTAGCCAAAAACCTATGGTTTTTGCCTTAACCACGGCCTAGCCAACCGATGCAAAAACCGACCGAAAAA